TTTTTGTTGAATGTAATGCAAAGAAAGCTCTTTAAGTTACATCCATAACAATTCTTTTGCTGTTTTTAAAATGGGAATTTTTTTACTGACATTACACATGCATGGTTGAAGTCCCTGTACATTAAATCAGAGGATATAATTTAAAAGCAGTGGGTTTTGCTTCTTTTTTTCCACATTCTCTAATTCTTATCTCTCATCAGCTCCTTACATGTTTAAAAAAGTAACTAAAAATTACAATATAAATTATATGTTTGGTTATTTACTATGTGCAATGAATTTTAAATTCAGACCCATATCAATAACCAAAGGGAGATGACCAAACTAGAAGAGAGTAAAGCAAGGAGAGTAGGTTAAGAGACTATGAATATCTTTTAATCCTAAATTTTCCATGCTAAATTTTTGCCTTTTCAATATCTTTAAAAGTAATAGATCCTTTCGATACTATGCAGTAATGCAATAAACATTAAGTAATTAAACTTAAGTGTATACTTACTTTTCCCAAATTTTACCAAATGATTACACTTCAGTGAAGCGCTCATGCTAAATAAACAAAGCTTACCATAACAACTCAACACTCCATACAGCATGATATTTATACAACAGGCTTGGTACACACTGAGCTTAACCCTTTGATTCCAGGAGTCATGATTTCATGACATGCCATCCTCTTACAGAATGCATTAGTATGATGTTGAAACAAATCTCCTAGCCTGAAGGAAAAAAAAACCCTAACCAATTCATGGGACAGAAGATAATTACCTATTTATTCTAATTGAAGTCTGACTGTATGAAAATAAGCTACTGCTCTAGAGACATTACAAGGAATAAAAATAACTAGCCTTTTCATAGCTCTTAGAGCAAACATGTAAAATCACAACTAGGTGTCCAAATCACTATGCTATGCAGACAACAATAGTATGTGTATCATGGACAGATTAGTCTAAGCATCAAGATTGCCTACCTGGAAGGGAAATACTTGCAATGCTGCACACAAACACCCTTCCATGGCAGAAAATTGACAGTGTTTGCCTTTGGGTTATGCTTGTGTTCAGCGAGGTTCTTGAAGTACCACAAGTTTCACTCAGGACTGTAAATGTAACATGAAAATAAAGCTTCCAGTTTTAAAATTCAAGCTAAATGACACCGGGTTCTTCAGTGACCACAAGGACAGTGACTTTCTGCTCTAGGAGAATGATCTACAGGTTCTAAGAGCCAAAGTGACATTTTACCAGTTATGCCTAATATGGAAATTTGGTGATAAGGAGAGAAATCCTTGAAAGTAATCAGTTCACTTCATCATGGATTAACACTATCACAGATTCTCCAGGAAAGAAACATATTCTGAAACAAAAACCAGTACTTCAAAAATCTTAACCTTACTACTGCAATGTTTTGCTGGATGCACAGTAAAGAAGTAAATGCTATTAACTCATCATATGCAGGTTAACATTATCCTCAACTCTCATCACAAACCCTCTGCAGCTATTTTGCAATATGTCATTAATCAATGTATGTACTGATCAGATCCATTCAATTGGTGCATCAGTGTAATGAATGGCATATATAAACATGCTTCAAATACATTTATTCGGATATCTATATATGAAAGTAAAATCACTACCAAAATTGGTACTCAAGCTTGTCAAAAGGGATGTTTTTCTTCTTCTATTTTACATAAGACATGCTAATGGTTACACCATCTGCAGTGTGAAACCCAGACAAATGCAAATCAAAGTAATAGTAGATCAAGACAAATGTCTATTTAAAACTGTAGTTTTTGCAGGTATTCTGTTAACTCACAACCTAAATATAAACCTCCTGTCCCTGAATATATAGGATAACTACTAGACAAGGGTAACTTCTGCATCAGAAACTAAAACATTTTCCAGTACAACATTCCACTTTTAAAATAGATCACATAGTTAGCAGTAAATTTATAAAGGTTTTCCATGAGAATACAAAAGACACTTAAATTATTCTAGCAAAATATCAGCAGTTCCCCTAAAACCATACCCTCTGTAAAGCACAGTAGAACATGACAACTTACCCAACACCCTTTTTTTGCAAAGTTGAGGACACAAATTTGAAGGTTTCTTCAATCAGCTTTCAACTTGCTGATTAGCTAGTAGGTGCTGTAAGTCACTAAAATACTTGACGCATTATGGAATAACAGAGACAACATACATAAAAGCACCATATGCTACTTCCCCCCCCCAGAAAAAGACGGCCACTAAAATAAGTACTGTGTTTTTTTCCCTCTTTGGCATGTGGAACAAAAGAGTGGTTTACATCAAAATACAGGGCACAAGAGATGCAACGGCAAGGCTTACCTAATACCCGAATTTGCCAGCAGATGTGTGAGTTAGTTTTAAAAGTTCTATTACATTTTTACTAGATTTATAAATCTGTTCTAACATATCTCCAGTTGCCAGATTAGTTAATTGCTCTGAAATAGAGGAAATTAGATACACACTAATTTTAAAGTATTATAAAATACTGGGAGATGTCTGTTTTCTTAAGCACAAACACAAGTATTTTTGTCTTATAAACCTCTATTTTTGTCTTATAAACCTTATACACATTTAGCAATTCCTACTGCTAGAAGATTTTGGCTAAAGCTGCCATTAAATTTGGCATAGTAAATCAATAATACTGTACAACTTTATGACCCATATTACAGTATTTGGTCAAACAGGAAACATGCTCAAAACATGAATTTCCACTACATAATGAATAATGAACAGTAAAAGACAGAAATACAAGTGCTCCAAGGACGCATTTTCAAAACAACCTTTTCACTAAATAACAAAATTAAAATAGAGTTTGTGCTCATACCTGAATTTACATGGTATTTGATACATAAACCAAAGTCTGGGAGCAAATTCCATTTTCCCTCTCCTTTAAAAATGAACCAAATAAAGTGTTCAAGGCCAATAAGAGGCGATGTGTACACGCTGATAATAGAAGAATAATTTGGAAACATGAGCAGTAATCTAGGTTTTAGAGAGCATGTAACAATTCTGAAAATAAAATTATTTGCTTAATTTTCTTCTTCCTGCCTCACAAGTGTGACTCATGAGATGCTGACTCCTCCTGGGAAACTGATGCAGCCAACTCTACAACATACCAACCCATGGCATTTAAAGGCATCAAGTCAAGGTTAGTGCTTTGGGAGCATGAAAGCATAAGACTCTCTTTCCTCATCTTATCATCCTCTGGGTCCTGTGTATGGCTGCCTTTGTTTCCAAACATGGTTTTCTATCCTTTCATCAACGCTTACCACAAACAGTGCACCCTCAGACTTCTTTAGCCTTGAAAACAAGGTTTAAGAATGGATGGAGAATGTGAACAGAGAAGTCTGTAGCTCCTGAACTGCTTTGGTTTACAAGGTGTAGGATTCAAGTAAGATCACTGGGAAATATATACTGGGAAAATATCACTATTTTTGCCTGTTTCATATACTTTCCTTAGTGTTTTATGTAATCTAGTTTAGAACAGGACATAGGGCAAGATGGATCTTGTACACTTCTGGGACAGTCAGTGTTGTCTTTCAGTACAAGGAGGTGGCAGAATAAAGTACTTTCACAGTATTTATTAAATCAATCATTTCCTCTATTCAACCAATTCAAGATCACCAATTCTGCTTCTAAAAACTTTAAAAAACTATGTGGTTCATAAGCTTCTGATTTTATGGCTACTCTTCTTGTATGCCTTTAGTGTAGAAGATATTTGATATAAAGCAAAGTCAATGCTGAAGAATGGAAAGCCGAGAAGGTCCCAGGACTCAGTCTCTGGACTGGACTAAAACTACAGCATAGCAGGATGAAAACATGAGATGTTTTCCTTTTTTTCCACTTTCTTTAGTCATATTCCTAAGTTCTTGTTTGGTTCTGAGCAAATAAATACAGCTTTAGGAGTATATTTGAAGAAAGCCGATCAGGAATGTGGAACTGTTTGTTGTGCCCAATATTGCTTCACCAAGTTTTACAAAGAAAAGGAGACAATATGAATAACATACAAAAACTGCACAAGTGAACGAATTTCACATCTCCCTGGTGGAGAAAAAGATAAATTCTAGTGCCTGGGGTCCTCCATTATGCACAACTAAAACTAAAAATGAGATAAAAAAATCCTACTTCATCAGAAAACAGGGGAAGACCCAAGAGAATAAAGGCACACCCAGAAAAATAGATGTGAGGAAGAGAATGATAGGGTGCTTTTATTAATTTTCCGAACAAAATAGAACTGTCTGTAACAGAATATAATTCAGCAGTTAAACACTCATATTTGGTCTACATGAAAGAGAGAACAAGTTTTGCCAGCAAAATGCAATTTCATATGGAACTCTGAATAAGGAAAAAACGAGTTAATACCACGAAAAAGACTCACTCACATAAAATTTTCCCAGACTAAAACTCTTTTTATATTTTTACTAATAATGCATTTAAAATAACTATTCAGTAACAGACCTTCTATTCTATTGTGAACACAATCTGAAGCCCAACAACATCTTAGTGTGAAACTTAATGACATATATTTTTTTCTAAAATGGCAGAAGCAGCTCCTTCATAATTTCATGTAGTTGTGTTGAGTTTCTGAGCACTTCTCTGTTTGCTACCTAGATATAGTACCAAGGAATGATTTAGGGTTTTCTTTCCCCCAGATAATGTTTTACTCTTATTCTTAACACATTTTTACAATTTAATCTCTGTATGTATAAAAATCCCATACCAACTTCATTATGTGCCTATAAAGAATTAACGTATACCAAAGCAACTGAACTGAGTCGTAGACCTTTTAAGCATCTATAGTCACAAAAGGCCTTTGTAACCTATAGTGGATTTTTTCTGTGAAGTCAGCAGCAAGAAGACTGTAACCTCCAGTATGTGAATAAGCACATGCATGCTATTAAGAGTACAGGAATTGGCACACATCCCTTACGTGTGAGCAAGCACTCTTCCCTGAGATTAAGGCCCCAAAAGCAAAGATTCTTTACTAACCTGCAGCGGTCTCTGTTTCTCACTGCCCTTAGGAGACTTCAGTCCACTTGTCTGTTGCTGTAAAAGCAGCTGCCTTGCTGCCTGGAGTGCCTAAAAGTAAAAAAAAAAAAAAAAAAAAGCAAATAAATTCAACCAGTTCCTAGAAAGAAATGAGTTACTCATTGCTAATGTTAGGTAAAAGTCCAATTGAACAAACATAATCTCCTCCTATTTGATTTGTATTTGCTAGATTTCAGACTTCAGGGTTTTTTTTACTTAAAACATTAAAAAAATATTCTGAAAGTACATATATAGGACTTCACTAGAATTTATGGATGTACATGAAATCCTGCAGGAAATAAAGTTAATTTGTTTGAAGTGCTTGAAGAGGAAAAATCATAAACTGCATCAATAGCCTCATTTCCACAAGGAACTTGTCTTTGAGTGTTCAACTAAAATGCCCACTCCCTTGCAAATTATCATTCAATTTGCATTTTCATATTACAATTTGAAGTAAAAGCAAGTAGACTTCAAGTGTTACCAGAAGCTGTAATTAAATTTGACAAATCAACATCAGATTATCTTGAAAGTGAATTAATAAGGATATTCATTGAAGATTAAAAACACTTTTTGTACTTACAATTCAAGGAGAAACCTCTCATTTGATAAAAAAAAGAGTGCAGTTTTAATGCCAAATAAAAATGAGTGGTTTTAATTTGCATTCTTAGGAAAATCAGAGAACAAAGAAATTAGTACTCAACCAACCAGATCAGGCTCAGGGATGACAGTATCCCAATCAAAATAGATGATGTTTTCATTTATTTTACGTTTTCAATCCAACTCAGCAAAATACAGTTAAACATATGAAATGTAAACAAACATTCCACTTACACAAAGAATGCTGATCTATATTATTTTTCCCCTATAAAATTATTTTTAAAATGTCAAGGGTTATAAGGTAGTATTTATTTATAAATAAAAACTATTCAAAACATTTCCACTGAAACTACCTGGAGAACTCATTTTTTCCCCCTTAAAAAAATCAGCTCAGTAAATAGCAGTTACAGCTTTACAATACATCATACTATTATATGTTTTTAAAACCCACTGTAGATGGAATGTACTGCAATAAATGCCATTTGATCAATGTTCCCTAAAATAATAAAGATTCTCAACTGATAAAGAAAGGTACTATTTTGATTAGACTCAAATGAGCTGGTTTTTAAGATAGTTTCTAGTATCCATGACAACAGTTGCTTTGACAAGATGTGCATATGGCATTACACTGCCAGCTGGTGTGAACAATGTTTGAACTACTGCATTGAGATGCTGAGCAAACAGAAAAAGTTGCCACGTCTTAACCCTCAGGGAAGGCAGTCATCCCCTGATCAATTATGAAAAGACAGAGAGAGGGCTGCTACAGTCTGGCTCCAAGCAAGTTTTCTGAGAAGGCAGGCAGACATAGAAAACCAAAGTAAACAAAGTGAATGCACTAGCACCATCTCCTAACAACATTGATTCATCTCCCCATAGAAGGCCCTGATACAAAGTTTGCAGAACAGACTTTTAACATTTGAAGACATTCCCACAACTATCCCTGTATTGTTTCATCAAATTCTCAAGTAATTACAGGTCAGCTTTACAAAGACTATACATTTCTCTGAACCTAAGCAATGAGACAGACAGAACTATCTTCTCTCCGCCAAAAATAAACAAAAGTTAGCATATTTTAAAGTGCACTTGAAATATTTTGTTATCAAGGAACCACCAGATGCCCTCTTTCTTATGTGAATAGCACGATCTCTTCTGTACTCCAAGCTCTTGAGCAGATCCTAAAGGCCAGTCCTCCTTTGCCTGAGATCAGACATAAATATAGTGTTCATTTCAGGGACACCAGGATTCGGTCCCAATGGTTTAAGCACAAAACACAGATTAAAGGCAAGAACAGAAGATCTGTGACAAATTTATAATCTTTCTCAATCATTAGAGCTCTCTGAAAGGAAAACCTGAATGCAAGCAAGAGAACTACTGCATTTCCGAATTCATGGGAGACTGTGGAGGAAAACCAACCTCACTGCTTGGTGTAATACTGCCACAAGAAGCAGAGAAGAGATCTGAAAATGGAAAAAAACCATCAAGATAATAATTTTTTATTTGTAGCAGCCACAGAAAATTCATTGCATGGCCTTTATCTGGAAAAGAAATTGTAATGATATAATGCTGGTGTACACTTGCAAATAAGTGGAACACTCGGCAAGTTGTTTCAGTGTCCTAATCTTTAGCAGCAAAGTCCTCTCAAGTCAATACAATAAAACAAGTAAGCAAGTGTCTGGTAAAGCTGTACATTTTTAGTACTTGAAAATTAGAGAATTATAGTCTGCTGTATCTTAGACTTAAGCTAGACATTATGATTTCAAATTGTGGGTAGCATACTCCTGTGGAATCAGACTAAGAAAGCATGACTTCCTACAGCTAACTACAAAAAGAGTCACACTTCATGAAAAAGCAAGGCAGCACAACAGGATATGCTTGCATAAAAGGCTCTAATACTTAAACTATTTTGATTCATATGTGCTGGTTGGGATATCTCTAAAGGAGTAAAGGCTTATCTTTTAATACAGAATGTCTTATAAATGATGACTACCTGAATACTTCAGTGATCTTATTGTGGCAGTTTAGATTATTGTAAACACAGGAGATAGAAGAAGAACAGAAAACAATTTCAAGAGATCAGAGATGATTTAAAACTCATAAGGAGAAATCACTGTCAGCCTTTGTTCTTAGAGAAGTCATCATACGGTACTTTTTTCTCCCATTGTGCTGCTTAACTTTACATTTTACTACTCAGTAAACAACCTCCCAGAAACACACTGTTAATTTCAAAGCATTATTACTGACATTATTCATAACTGAAGATTATGAGATTATAAAACATTAGTTCTACCAATTCATTTGCTGCTATTAAATCTTTGCCAATAAATCGACAACTTGAAAGTATCTTTCAAAATTCATAAACATCTAAACTTCAAGTAAACACACATCCTGTGTATCATTTATAAAATTCTATGAACTAATTTGATAATAACTCGTGGTTTAAAAACAATATAATTAAGACAAACTAACAAATGCTTATAGATCTGGCAGATCAAAATTATGTTGAGTCCTACCTCAAGTTAAGAGAAGAAGGAACAGATTGTAAGGCACTCAAAATCATATCTAGTTTCCAATAACATTTGTTTCACATTTAGCAGGCACTTTTCCTTAATTAAGTTATCTAAATTAGCAAAACTATACAAAAAAAAGTCAATGTAGACAAAAGCAATAAAAGGAACTGAGGATTAGAAATTATTTTAATAACTCAAATGAAAATCATTATAATGCTCTAAGTAATAGCTATATAAGCAGGAAATTTGGGCATATGGTTTCCAGAACTCACTGTGTCTTCTAGTAAAATATTTATTGGAAACACTACTTCTTAATATCTACTGTGCAGCTTTGGCATAGCTAAAACATAAGCAGAACAAAAATAAAATTAATTGCACATAACTTACCCTATTAAAGTTGATAAATTGCTGTAGATTTTGCAGTTTGTTGGCAATAATACTATGAGATATAACTTGCTTTAATTTTTTATTCCAAACACTTTTATTTAATGTAAGCATGACTTCAAATTATTTTTAAGGTTTTATCATTTTAATAAAGTGAAAGCTGTCACTAAAAGATGGTAAACATTACTTTGGTTTTTAAAAAGTAAATATATGTGTATTTTTAGGAAACAGATGTCACTCATATCTTTCCTTTAAAATCAGGAATGTTTAACCTATCAGCCTGTTGCATTTGAGACGTTAAAATGAAAAATGACATCTACGCCCATTAATATCGTCAATGTATAAACAGCACAGCGTGACACATTCTTGAGAGCTGAAGGCTACAAAATCTCTCTGAAACATAAATAACAAAGCACTCAGAAGGATATTTGATGTTGATATTCATCTCTGAGAAAAACACTGCTGCCTAGGCTTCTTATGAAAATAGATGCAGCCCAAATGGATCTCCTGTAATTGGTTTCAGATAGTGAGGTCAAAAGAAATATGATACGAGAAACTATTATGTGGAACAGGCGAAACAAGAATGTTTATACAGGCACTCCCTATTTATACTGACAAGAGGTGTATACTTTGTAGATAACCAGAACCAAAAATTTGCCAGAAGACAACCAGATTCTTTTCTTTTTCTAACTCCAAATCCCTACTTTATTTTTTCAAATGACTGCATACTCTGACATTCCTGCAGAACGTCAAGTAAGTTTCTGAACATAAAATAAGTTTCCAAATGGCTGAATATGTCAAAGGAGAGTCATCTCACTGGTAGCACCATGCAACTGAAACGTATCAAGATGATAAGCTGGATTTAAGGCCAAAGACTGTTCTGCACTGGTTGAATAACAAGTTAACCAAATGATTACATAGTTCCATTTATTATAAAAGCCATTTCAGGAGAACCTCTGCCCCTTTATAACCTGTTGGGGGTCCTTTCTCAGGCTGACTCCCAACAAGAAGCCCAGAATTATGCATAGTTGTATGAAATCCTCCAAAGATGGTGACAGAAAGACAAGACTATTCAACACTCCTTAATAGCATTTAAATGATACTGCTAAACCTTTGTGTCTCACTGACTATATTTGTCCAGAAAGTTCTCTAATGAATGTCACAGTTAGTCAGCATGGCAGCTTATAATCTTTCCAAATGGAGTAGCAAAGCATTTAGCACTACTCAAAGAATCTCGAATTTAAGGTGATCCAACTCCTTTCCAGCAGCAATCTCTCCAGGTGACTCAACAGGGTAGGCAAACTCCCATTTTCCTCAGTGAACAACACTCTTTTTTTTTAAGCCATGCAAAGAAAATTTAGGACAGATGTGCCATACTGGAAAGGTCATGAAGTCAAGGAAATCCTGTATGTAACTGAAATCCAAGCCACATAACCTGCCTGATTTCTCCTAGGAGTGGTAGACTGAAAAATTGTTAGAGTGTTTTCCTACAGAAGTAGAAACAAAGGACTAGGTAGCTAAGGCTGTGGGCACCCATCTCAAGATATATAATTTCTAAGAAAA